AGATATAAGTTTGAATAGATTTTATCAACAGAAATAGTCAATTGAATAAAGCATTGATTTCTTTAAATACTAAATGTCATCAATGCATAATTTATCAGGTTGTTTTATCTATTGTTCAGTATTTATGCATCTGTCCACTGACTGTCTAGTATTGATCTTTTGGTCATTGTCTGTTGATAGTACTATTCTAACTTGGAACATTAATCATACTTTCAAGGAATCAAAGTGGTAGTAGTGCATAATATATAGTGCATAATAAAATTCAAAATCTCAAATTCGTATAGGCTATGTACTAATAGAGTGATATTCCATTAAAGACTCTAAAACATAGGCCTTTTAGTACTAAAAAAAAAGTCAACATGAAATTCTGTTTGAAAACTGTCCATAAAAAATTATGTTCTTTATTATCTTAAATGATTAAATTTTTGCAGAAAATCGGCATCATTTACATTTGTACTGAAAAGCTCTGGTCAAGATTATTAGAATCTGAATTCTAGATATTCATATGATTTCTCATTAAAACATGTCCTTCATACTATACCTAATGGTAAGGGTTAGACAGATGTTTTTATTTGCTACAAACACAAAACAATTTATAAATATTGTTAACTAGAAACAATCAAAGGAGGGTTTGTACACAATAAAATGGTGAAAATGTCAGAGAAACATTGCTGCACTGAGGAAAGAATTCATTCTGACCATCAGACACTCAGGCTGAACATGTGTGGAATTTAGGAGAATTTGAAGGAACTACAGCGTTTAAATCAACATGAGCAGCACAAGCATTTCATTCAACAGGTGAAAATACTCCACTCCAGGTACACTCGTTCTCATCATTTGGAGGGGCAGAAAAAATAAAAATCCACAACAAATAAAGACACTAAATCAAGGTAGTTATTTGGGATTTTTTTTAACAAAGAATTTGTCATTTAATCAATCCCTGTTCAAATGAAAACCTTCATTGAAAAGAACTTTTTCATTTTGATTAAAACTTTCTGAATTTGGTTTTAATATACATGTAGGAAAACTGAAATTAGTTCATCAAATCAGAAGAACACCGAGACAATGATTTTACAACATTTATTTAAGCAAAACGTCTGATAAGTTAAAGACTATTCACAAAATTTGTAACTGTTGAGTTTGCAGATTAAAAATATTGTTACTCCGCATAAATGAAAATAAGTACTAAAAACACTTGTTAGTTGTTACTCAGTATAAATAGAAAATTTATAGGGAATAAGCAATCATTCAACTGGCAAATGTAGCATCTATAGGATCAAATCATAGTGCAATAAAACTAACCGATAGAATGAAGACTAATCAACCAATTCATAGACAGATCTTGCTCATCAAGTTGTCTCTAGGATTCACTCAACACTCAACAAATCTAAGCCATTTTAAGACTAAAATGATACTTTTTACCCCAACAATTTGCATGGGAGGAAATTGGATAATCCAAAGAAAACCTACGAGGTTAAACAGGTGACCTTACTCCTTGGCATGTACATTTCATGTACTTGCACAGATAACATGCCTATGATTTTCAAAGCATGTTTTACACCACATCTAACATCAATTTAACTTCCTTTTGTCATTATTCTGAAACTATACCAGCGGCTGCCAGGCAGGATACACCCACATTTTGCAAGAGATGGATAGAGTTAAACTGCACGTGACAATATACGTCGCCATAGTAATGAAGAGGTGGTTTATCGTTGATTACCCAGTCCGTTGAAAATAACACCGATATTTTACGCTGAAAAAACGTCTGGATAATATTTCTTATATTCTTTGAATAAAATGGCTTCCGAGCTTGAAACTGTCAATGCCAATCGGAATATTTATTATGACAGTACGGCAGAATGCGAAAACACACTGCTGCTGACATGAAAAAGAACATTTCTTCTGTCACTCATATGTGGATATTTTAGTTTAAAAAGAACACCCGACCAGTCTGTTAACCAGATATCGAGTTAATGAATATTTATTCGGTATTCCAGGCATTCCAGCTGATCAGAATAGAATGATCTGAGGAGACGATATCTACAGGAATAATCTTACCCCAGCATATATACATGTATATACGTCTCACTTCATCAGTATCTCATACATTGCTAAATACCAAATGGATACACTAGATACATTAATCCATTTATACACCTCAAGTTATATCAACTCAACTTATATCAATTTTATATCAGTAATTATCACGATATTGAATTTTTGAAGCACGATAATTTGAACTATCGTGATAATTTACTCCAGACGATAATCCATGATATCGCGATAATTTATTTTAACAATATCGTGAGATATCACAATATTTTTTTTCTGTATCGTTGCAACCTTGCCAGGGCCATAATCCAGAAAGTTATGGTCTGAAATGCGCAAATATCAAAAGGGACTCAGATTTTCGGAATATAAAGATATGTTTCAAGTTTCATCAAAATCGGATAGAAATTGTGACCTCTAGAGGGTCCATAACCTTTGTATTACATACCTTTACATCATTTGCGTACAGAGAGCGGCCATTTTGCCTTCACTTTCATTTCGATTTTCCCGAAATTCCTGATACAATCTTCATTATGGTGGAATAGTGATATATCTAAACAGTTTTTAAAATCGGGAAAAAAACTGTGACCTCCAGAGTGTCCACAAGCTAAAAACATGATTTTTCGTACAATCAGGGGCCATAATCCATGAAGTTATGGTCCGATACATGCCAATATCGAAAGGAACCAAGATAAGGGGGAAAAAGGAAAAGGGAGAGAAAGACTAAAAATAACTTTCGCCCTACATTCGTGGGTGACTGCGTAGAAATATTTGGGATCAATTATTTATCTGGAAAAATACCGTATTTTAATGACATGCAGAAATAGTCATGTGATCAAATTTATTTCCGTAAAATGCATGGAGAAAATCTCGAGCAGAAAATCTCTAGTCGAAAATCTGAAGTTGAAAGTCGAATGTCAAAAGTTGATTATTGAAAGTAGAAATTCTGTTGTTGAAAGTAGAATATTTACGACTTAAAGTTGAAAAGGTGGACGTATTAGGTTGAAAAGCATGAGCGGTATATGTTTCCCACACGAAAATGTCCATTTTGGATAAGAATTTTCTCTTTTGCTTTTTATTTTCCACTTTCTACTGCAGATCGGATTTTGAACCTGAAAACCCGCCATAGTAGGCTGTCCACAAACAAATTGTGGACGGACGTCCGGACGGGCAACGACAATATACGTCCACATGAAAATGTGGGCGTATAAAAAGGAAATTTGAAAACTGCAAAATCGAGTCAAAAACATATTCAAACTAATTGAACTATCAAAATCCTTCTCAAAATATTGTCTTCGCGAAGGAATACCACTGCTACAAAGAATCTATTAAAAGATGCCATGTTTGTGTCACATGACTTGGATAATGCGGTATCAAGCGACGGGCATGAAGCCAGAAGAGAATTCATTGCACATACAAGATGATGTTGTCTTTAACTGCTGTTCATTTATCATAAATATCGAAGCCTAATTAATTCTCAGATTATCCACTACTCATGTCTTTTTCCATGGTTTTTATCTCAGAAACTGTTGTACGTTTAAGCTTACCATCAAGTTTATCAACATATATATCAAGTGTTCACTAATGCTGAGAGATCAGAAAATCTTCGAGTGCAACCTTTGACGTCACTCAAGCACACATTCCTAATTGTCGGGTTGCCGGTAAGGGAAAACGTTACATTTTTGTCCCGTGTGCGCTCCATGGGTGTTTTTCAGGGAACCCGGTATTTTTCTAGTAAGATTGGATGTTTCTACTTTCCATATATATCAAAATTGCCATACTTTTATTGGAAATAACCACCTGATAAATACTTTTGTGGAAAAGTATCTTTAAATAACACTATCCTCTACATTTATCTTTGACCTAAACCATTTATTCTGATGATAATCCGTTTATTAAATAGAAGACATACATATCCATTAGTCCTGACTAAAATCAATACTACAGACACTGGTTGTGACACATGGCTGGACGAACAGTCTAATGGTATTCACAGACTTACAGAACTACTGTACTTTATACAATAATTATGGGACTGATATTACTTAATACTTTCTCACATCATTTTCATAGAAAAACTGATGGAAACTGAACAAAATCCATAATAGACCCCACATTTTACTATCACTTTAAATTATTCATTATCAAAGGATGAAGGCCCTTATGCATATTATTTAAGAATATCTATCCTAATGCAGTGTTAATAATTATAAATGAGCATAAAAAAGAGTAACTTCCACAAGACAAAAGCTAAATTTCATGGGAAAAATGGCATAAGAATTTTTGCAAAACATTTGAAAAGAAGTACTTTATTAACACTCTAGCACGTGGTGTACTTGGTTATAGTCATGCTGGTTATAGTAGTACTTTAAAAGTGGAGCAAGTGTTAAGAATGTAGATGTTAGTCTCATATTGCCTGAAGGTGACAAGATTCATAATTTTAGATCAATAAATTTGTCATCGCTTGCTATTGATCAACTTCTTCAAATAAATGTCTCTAAGACATCAGAATTTCCTGCTACGAAAAGTGTGAAGATATCAGAATGTGTTTATACTATAAGATTACTGAATGAATGCTAGATACATTTATCTTTATTTTAAAACAGCCAATAATTGAGAAGACTATAGAATGAATATTCAACAATATTATGACACGCACAACATGATATTTGAATATATTTTGCACTGTTATTTTATAGGGCATTGCTCATTTACACTGTGCTTTGGGGTTGGTTTTTTTTTTTACGCCTGTTGTTTTTTGCCTGTTTTTCGTTCAGTAGTTGCTTTACATTGTTAACTGTTTGTCAAATACATTAGATTATAATATTAGAATAATGTGAAGAGACTGTCTTAACAAGTTCTTGTCTATCCTTGCAATTGCCATGCAGAACTTAAGTATAACAAAATATATACCTTTACAGGAAACACAACTTAAGTACATAACATACCTTTTTCTTGCTACAGTAGATCTGCCATTTTTTTTCTTTTGGTAAACTATACAAAGCTTCTTGATGTGGTTTATCTAAATCTAACTCAGCCTGAATAAATACAAAAAATATCTTAGGGTTAAAGCTTGACAGCTCCAGAAAGACAAATTATTTTGGCATGCAAATAACCCTTTGATGTACAAAACTATAATAGTAAGTGCAGAAGGTATATTTGTAACAAGACCATTTTTGAAGAGCTTCAAATTGTTCAACAGGGTTACACCATCCTCTGAAGGAAATGAAATAAAAATGGGGTTTAATGTCCTAATTCTTCCCAGAGAAGCTGGTAAACAGCTACACTAGGAGCTTTCTTGAGGGCAGACCACAATATGGCAGGTTCAGCATATATCCCAACAGGTACAGTGTAGTGACACCCTTGTGTATAGAATATACTTGTCTTAGTATAAAATGATAAGCATGCAAATGATAAGCAAATCACAACATTTGCATTAAAGTGGCATCCAATGTGTAGCGTATCGTCAAAATCTTCTCTGTAGGTCTTTCATTTTTTTTTAAAATGTTAAATGATTAGCCTTATTATGCATAATAAACACCCATGCGCATTCTGTGGTAACTGTTTGTTTCCGTATTCAATCACCCTCTTTCTTAATTTATATTAACTACATTTGCATGTTATTGTATACTTACAACTAGTTCCTGGAATTTAGCGTTAAGTTCATTTTCATCTGTTGGCATTGGGATATCCACTTCTATAGGTTTTAATGTTCCTTGTGCAGAGTCCATACCATGTTTGATCTCTGGGGGGCGTGTACCACCTAAACACCAACAAAATCCTTTTCTAGCTGGCATTCTGACAGTTATATAGGCCTATTCCTATAGTTTAAACCTGAAATGCATATACATGTATATATATATATATATATATATATATATATTTATTTGTCAAAATAAATTAAACTACTGACAAAAAATTGCTTACCACTACATGTATACAACTTATCCTAAATTTTAAAATACAAATTTTAATTTCTGAAATGACAAACATCGCAAGAGATCAATCAATATCTGTAACTTAATAGAACATTGTCTTTCACAGTTCTAGCATCCATAATTAACCTCATAAATAATGAATTGATTTTATCTTTTTACTCTCAACACTGAGATCCAACCACACTTTATTTCAATTCTATGAAGGAAAATATCTTTACACTAGATATATTTGTGATTCATTTATCTTCTTGTCTTGTTGAAAATTGTAATCTGGGAGACAGATTTCTGACCGATAAACTGGGTGTTTGCTGTGCATGTGTGCAAATATGAAGGGTGAAAGATTCTTGTTCTAAGTATTAATGAGATACATGGACGGAACATATATCTAGAGAGGATGTACATGTAGATTACAATGTGTAATTAATAAAAGTTAAAGATAACAAGTTTCTATACAGGTATAGGTGTAGAGGAAGGAAAGGTGTAGTGTTGTACATCCATTATCAGAAAACAACCGAAAGTAACATGCAATGCTCATGTAAAAGTAGATAGAGATTATGCATGGCATTCTTATATCTTGTAACTGAAGTTTAAATGATGTGATTTATTATAGCTTCGAATTACAACAGCAAATGGATTGTTAACGTGCACCAATGCAATAATATGTCAAAGTGTTGTGCAATTTACTTACATACTGTATATGCATTTTACACCCAAATCATAGCAAATATTTTATTCATAAATATAATGTAGACTATATAAACACTTGTGTGGCATGCGGTTAACTTTTATCAAATCCAAGTATATAAAAAGTAGATAAGAAAATGAGTTAAATACACCCAGTATATTAAAGGTTTATGATGTGGATCTAATAAGGACGGGGTGCCAAGATATGAAACTATTCATCAATCTTTATTATACCTTAATATAATGTACCTTTATAGTATATTCATTCATTCAAGGGTGACTTAAAGGGTCAGCGTCATATGAAGTCTTTATTCAGAAATTTTAAATTTTAACCAAGAATCTTGTTTGTAGTCATATTTAACGGGAAGAGGGTAGATGGTAGCTAAAACCTGTGTTCCCATGACTGCTTTTTTTCACTATTATTTTTCCACTATGTATATGAATATTCTGGCTTCATATGATTTTTTAGTCATGGGTTGAAGTAGTTCATCAGTTTAAAGAAGAAGGTAATACATGCCATGTACATGTATAATACTGTTACTGGTTTCAAATTGAGATAAAGTTCCTATAACAGATTAACAAATATTTTACTTTTGATTCTAATTTAAGATCAGAGATATGTATATCGGTACATACATGTATATATGTACTTATAATTACTTATAATTCAAATATTTCAGTTTTTCAATTTTTATGTTTACACAGACTCTACAATATTCAGAATTGAATTTCAACGATGGCATCTCAGCTCTGAACTTGGTTCATTAACAACAGAACAATGGTGGTGTTCAAATGCCCCCAACATCAAGCAGATAAACAAATTTTGGTTTTCTCACATTACGATATATCTAATTAACCAAATTGTACTGTTTTTATTATGTCCAGTTCTGTTCAGGAATTATCTTCAGCATCTGCATTCTTTATATTTCAAGTTTAGTATTTAGATACCTTTATACATATATGTTAGCCTTTTCACCCATACTATACTATTCAAAAAAAGTAGGGGATATTTGATTTTTAAGTGTTATTAAAGTCACCTAATGAAACTGACGAAGAAACAAATGACAAAATGAAATGAAGTTCACATTCATCGATTTATTCCAAATGATCGTTAGACTAAGTAAGGCACAGACTGACCATTATAAGGGTAAAATGATACCCGGGGTCAAACAGCAAAGTTATCACAGCATCACAACCAAGTCAGTAACGGGTAAATCCTCCTCTGTTTGCCAAACAAGCATTGATCCGACGTGGCATATTCCTAATGAGACGTCTAAGGTCATTTTGGTCCAGATTGTCCCATTCCTGTTGCAACGCAGCAGCAAGTTCTTGGACATTGGCAGGACGTTGTTGACGTTGACGTAAACTCTGTCCAAGCATGTCCCAGACATGCTCGATGGGGGAGAGGTCGGGACTCAGTGCTGGCCAAGGTAATGTGGTGATGTTCTGTTGTTGGAGGTAACCTGTAACGATCCTGGCCCTGTGACATCTTGCGTTGTCATCCTGGAAGATGCTGTCCCGGTAGTACTGGCCTGTAACACGCCCTGCAACAACATGTAAAGCCGTTCTTCCAGCAACAGTGATGCCTCCCCATACCATAAGAGAACCACCCCCAAATCGATCATGTCTGATGACGTTAACGTCTTGGAAGCGCTCGTTTCGACGACGCCACACCCTCCTACGTCTGTCCAAAAAATCAACAGTGAACCTTGACTCATCTGAAAACATCACATTGCTCCAGCGTCGATTATCCCAGTGTTGACGATCCCTACACCAACGACGTCTTGCCTGAATGTGATGATCTCTCAAACAAGGGATCACGCGAGGACGTCGGGCGCGAAGGTGACCCCTATGCAGTCGATTCCGAATCGTCTGGCCACTCACTCTCACACCAGTGTCTGTTTGAAGACGAGCGCTGATCTGATTTGCTGTGATGACACGATTTCTCTAGGCCAAGGTACGGATAAATCGATCCTGGGCTTGAGTTGTCGCCCTTGGTCGACCTGAGCGTGGTCTGTCCTGTACAGATTGTGTATCACGGTATCTGGACCATAGCCTGCTTATGACAGACTGTGAAACATTCATCGTCCGCGCCACAACCGCCTGTGTTGTGCCGATCTGTAGCATGCCAAGGGCACGTAACCTTTCATTTTGGGTAAGCCGACGCATATCAAAATTTGTTTTCTGGTCACTAAAACAATTAAACTGATGTTTCCACCCTGGAATTCAATGCCACAATGTCTGTAACATTCAAAGTCAGAGTCGTGCAAATCTTGGGTTGGACCCCCATGATGATCCCAAGCATCACCTGCATTCCATGCGGTAGCTATTGGTGCGTTTGGGCGTCACATGTAACTGGAAATGTTTCTTCTGTTAGGTTCTATATAGTGACTTTTTTCGTAGTCATTTGCATATTTTAGTATTATGCCCCCAAAATCAAATATCCCCTACTTTTTTTGAATAGTATATTATAGGTTTGTGAACACAAAACATTAACGTTAAAAGGAAAAGACAATTCTTAATAAAGGTGAATAAAACTGTAATGATTATCTCCATCTAATCCAGCTTGGCAAGACCATAGACCTACAGTATTTCACCTTCATTATATTATAGATATATCATGTTAAAAATGACCATCTCTGGATGTCAAAATAGAATAGAACACTAGTTCACTCTATAGTTCACTTTCATTATCATTCATCTTTACATATATACAAGTAATCTTTCTGTCTGTGACTGGACTCACAAGGTGCATTGTACAATAATGTTCAAAACCTGTTCTCTATTTAAACAGTAGATAGATAAACATACTGGACTAACTGGTCAAAACATAGCTCTATTTTAACAGTATATGGTAACTACAGTGTCCAGTTTCAAAACCAACCTCCTTAAAGTTGCTGCCAATACAGCCAGCCTCTTGAACCAGTAACTATCTTTATTTTTTTAATTGTAATATAAAAATGTGGCAGATTAAATTTTTCTCAATTGGTGACCTGCCAATATTGGACAAAAACAAACATTAAAATTGTATTTGTATTTAACCTATCTGAGTAAATCCAATATAGAAGTTATATTAGTAAGAAAACTGAAACATAATTTTTTTTGTAGGAGCTTCAAATTAGTAAATTAGTTGCTATTACATGAATACTGTTCTTGTGTCAAGTACGCTTCAGTTTTATGATAATATTTACATACCTGTAATTATAAATGTCAAGAGTCAACATTTACTTCTTTAAATTAAACATTTTTACATGATTTCAGATGATAATTAGGTGATATTTACTTTGAAAGTACGATCTGGGATAATGATGTTAATTGTGAGAGAAGTACTATTTAACTTACTAATTGTTACTACCAGTATACTTTGTATGGAGTTTTTTTATCTTATTTATTTTAGAACTATTTAAATTCTATAACATGTTTTTAAGTATATTACTGGTATATGAGGTCTACTTCAGTATGTTTCAGGTAGAACATTGAAATGTAAACTAACATGTACTCAATTTTCTTACCCGCTTACAAATAAATAAAAATATCTTTCATCCTTGAGTCCCAAGTAACTATTTTAAAGTCAAATTATAACAGGATATCTAAGTAAAATCATGGACTTTATAAAGTCCATGGTAAAATACATACACATGTAAGTATTTACTTCGATTTCAAAACCAATAATCTTTAACTGAATGTTCAACCTTTTAAAAAAGCAACTGTCCATATGTAGTTAGATCAAGTTGATATATACATAAGTAAAGTTTATATACCACAATGACCTCAGGCTCTTGTGGTCTGAATAAATGATAATAAAAGAATGGATGAGTGATCTTAAACACTGCTCTACTTTTTATATTGGGTTGCCTATTCTTGTGTTACAGGGGATTACCTCCAGTTGTATTTCCATTTAAATGAAGACTTTTCTCTTATTATCGTTATCCTCTCCTCAAGGGCCAGGGTCAAATTTAGGGAACAAATTGTAGTAGTCCATCAAGCATGGTTTTTCTTATGGTTGATGAAAGTTCAATTAATGAATACTTAAGCTTACGCATTTATATTTTTTCACATTTCCAGCAATTCATTTTGATCACCTTGCCAGGTTTTCAATCAAAGGTCCTTAAAAATTTGATTCCATTTTACCAGAATACAGTATAATTGAAAATACCAGTGAAAGATAAAAATATGATAAATATGTTCAAGACATCCAGTCAATAGCATGAA